AAAAAAAGGCATACAACCTAGAGGCAGAGGGTCGAGGAGACCCCCTCCAAAGAACCTATACAATTAAAGTACCATTGCTCACAGGTGGTAATAGATTATAATGCATATCAAATACATTAAGATGGTTTGATGATTCACTCATAATATGAACAAAAAATAGAAGAAAAACCCTACTAGTCAAACTCTACCATCTCACTGACAATAGCTATTTTTTCATTCCTCCAAAAATTTTTGCAATTACTCATTTATCCTAACTCATAAATCACTTAAAGAACAAAACAAGATATCAAAACCTTAAAACTTGCATGTACAGAATTTCACACCTGTTCAAGTGTTTCTCTTTGCCCGTGCAGTAATGAAGCTCTATCACGGAGAATTATATAAAAATCAATAATGAATGGTAGCATTAGTGTAGAAAAGCATCAGATTCTCAAAGGTGAATTTGAGAAACTTACGGGATTATACAAGAAGCAATAGAACTACTTTGAGAGAGTTGCCACTGCCGATGCCTTCGAATCTGTACATTGATTATATCCCCATCTGCAATAGATTCAGCTGCACGAGCAATCAAATCCATCCGTTTGATCCCATTGTCATCCTTACTAACAGAACTTGGCCTATAATTAATATAATTTTCCTGCAAGCAACTATCATGCTCAGATAAAGGCTGTACAATGGGAAATGTAGAGAAAACTTCCCATTTAAGTTATTATTAGCTTTAGCTTTGGACAAAAAACTCGGCTGCAACTAGACAAGTATGGCAGTGAACTTATAAACAGTGCTAGAAAGTGATGTATAACAAAATCGAGAAAAGGATAAACAGAGTGATGCATATGTGTATGTAGAAGAGATGGCAAACATGAGTTCCCTTTTGCCTACTATCAAGTCTTTTAACAAGCTTAGATCTTTCATTTGAAGATATGTAGAACACGTGGGTGGAAGTAAAATAGTATGGAAACGGTCCATTGTATACTTAAATGGTCCACTAACCAGTTAAATGAATGTCTAGAGTCACAGACACGTGTTAAATGATGTTGTTACAAGTAAATATAGCAAAACAAATTCATAAATGATATACACAAACCAGTCCGCTAAAAATCTCACTCAACGACCTTGGAGATGTTAGATTTTCTTCTTTTTCTTTAGGCTTAGAAACTATTCATTGAAAAATATCAACCCAGACAGAGCCACAGGTTTCACAAAAGATTCCTCCCCTTAAATGATCTGCCTGAATGAAAGGTTTTAGAAACTAAATGTATGAATAAAGTATAAAATGAAGTGGAAATAATAAATCATATTTGAATATAACCATTAACTTAATTCTTCATATGGTACACCTAATACCAACAAAATGTTTCAGTTTTTGTAAAAGGAGAGAGAGAAACAAATTCATTTGAGATTTCTTTTCCTATTCTTATGTATTTGTTTTTCCCTTCTTTCCCTTGGGAAATGTAAATAGAACTCGGGCATTAATATTATAATGCAGCCTCTTAAATAAAATTCAAACCTAGAAAAAGTAACACAATCTACAAGCATAGAATAAAAAGAAAAGGCTTTCAAAGATCTAAGATTCTTTAACTAGCACTAGCAGTAAGTAAAATATTTAACTACAGTTTCTTAAAAAATATATGAACCTAAAAAATCATGTTATTCACGTCTAAAATTTTATTCAAGAATTCTTTCTGGATTTAGTACAAATAGAACAATTGATACATGAATCAATTAAACCAAATAAAGATACCTGAATAAGAAGAGGGACTAGATCAGGATCACTCATGCTGAGATTTACCCATTCGTCCATCCTTAACTTCCCAGAATTAAAACCAAACAGCCTGCAAATGAAAAGACGTCGGTAAATACGTCACCAAAAAATAAAATCAATAAGCATCGAAAATGATAACATCCAAGAAAAATGATTTTTCTTTCTTTTGATAAGAAACTATATTTCATTGAAAAGATGATAAAAATATAAAAAAGCTTCCATGGAATCAAAAAAGACTTTCCAACTAAAAGGGGAGAATTACGCCAAAAAAAGGCAATGGAAAAGAGTTTTCTTCGTGTTTCCAGCCGTAGAAGGTGAAGGGTCAAATAAACAATTAACTGTAAATGCATCGAGTTCTCTCTCAGGGACAGGTAGTCTATTCCTTGAACTCTCTTTTTTGGTTGTCTCATGATTAAAGGTCCTTTTCTTTGGGCATTGTAGTGGTTTTTTGGGTTGCTCCTCCTTCAATTGGGTGGCTCTGGTGGTTGAGTGTTTTTTCATTGGGGAGTTTCACTTTTGGGTTGTTCGGTTGAACCTTGTGGCTTCTTGGTGCTACTGTCCCTAGATTCTTTAGTTTGTCGGCTCATTGTTTTTTATTTTCTTTATATATCTTTTTATCGCTGTTGATCTTGTTCTCGTTTTGTTTCCTTCTTCTTCTAGCTCCCTGGGGGAGTTCGTTGGGAGCTCGTTTCCTGATCATTTCGTTGCCATAGTATCAACGGAAATTTGTTTCTTGTTAATAAAAAAAAAAAAGAAAAAAAAAAGAAACTGAGAGAGGAGAATTTGCAATTCAAAGAGAGCCTGCAAATAACTGAACTCCAAATTTATCTACACAGATTCTGCTTCTCAAAGAAAAATCCTCTCATTTCTTTTCAACCATACCAAAAGATAGCCCCCACAGGGAAAGACCAAAAGAATTTCTTATTGCTATTGAAAGGTGCCCCACAAGGAAGAGAAATAAATTCGTACTAAATAATCCTTAGATCTTGACAACTACAACGTCAATATATATTTTTACTTTTACTTATTACAGCTCAGTATCAGCTTTTCTGCAAGCAAGGGAGTCGAATAGGTTTAAGATTATGAAAAAACAAGCATAAGATAAGAAAACATCAACCAGCTCAAATGTGGAGATATAGAAAGTAATATATAATAAAACAAGTTGCTTCCACAATATTGCTCCAAGAACAGAACAAATACAGCAGCCATAAAGGCTTGGCAGCAAAACAAAGTAACGAAGTGGTGTAGAACTAAAATTAAATTGTGCATACTTATCAACGGCAGTGAATGGTGAGATGTCTTCATCTTTCATACTGCTCAGAAGTCGTTGGCGAATATCATCATATTTAATAACTGGCATTGACAGACTCATGTACTGCAACTGATTTAGTGCCATGCGCATATCCCCATTAACTCTTTCCGCAAGTTCCTCAAGAGCAATCTGAAACCATAACACCAGCTGATCAGTTATCTATGGCAAGTGATTATCAAGATTCAAGATGCTATAACCAAGCATGCATGCAACCCACTCCAACTAAATGAGCAACCATAATCAAGTGACATACGAAATATTTACCTCATTAACTTGAAGGCCCTCTGCATTTGCAACTTGCATGAATCTTTTTGCCATCTAGAACGGGTCAAACTAACTTCTATCAAATTTTTGCAGTATTGGACCAAGAATGTAAAGCAAAGGAAGCGCTTAAATCATAAATTTCAAACGATCAAAACATATGAAGAGCATATGAAGGGGCACAGGCAAAGGATTAAAAACTGGGCATATTATACAGGCGACGATATAATCTTTTTCTTTTAAGGATAAGAGACCATTCATCCCAAAAGAACAAAAGATATACATGCAGAGGGAAGGAGGTGAGGCATCTCCTTCCTACCCATCAAACATGGGGAGATAAAAAAGGTCTTTGTAACATGAGAAAAGCCTTTTATTTATTTATTTATCTTTGATAAAGTAGAAGAACCTTTTATTGCTCATGAATGATTACAATATTTTGGTGCAACTGGGGAAAATACAACAGAAAATTGCTGAAGCGAGTCATTGTCTAATTCAAACACAGGATGTCACCCATGAAGAAGACAGTAATAGTGAAGTAATAAACCATATAAAACCTGTTGTTTTGTAGGCTTTCTAAAGCTGAGAATCAGACAGTAGTTCACAAGGCTTTTCAGCTTCTGGCTGTAACGGTCATTACAGATGCAGATAATTGGAATTTTGGAGGTTTTAATACTCGCAATCAGATCAGCAACTCCACCCCTATCTCCAGCAGACATTCCATCTACCTCATCCATAATCAACACAGTTTTGGGACGTTTTGGCCTGTAATTCAACTTAACTATTAACCCACCAGAAAAGTTGGTAGGTTCCAAATACCTAACACAACCCAGTGTTATTAACTTAATGCAATAAGTTCAGGGAATGCACACTAACTGATTCGTTCTGAAATGCAGAGATTCATTGCTGATGAGCTCCTTTATGGAATTCGCATTGCTTCCACTAATTCCCTTTTGAATTTTTGCATCTGATTTACCCCGATTGTCACTGGCATTTACCTAGATGCAGTGCACACATATAAGGAAAATTGCACCAAGAATAATAATTCAAAATGCTCCTCATATGTCATTAAGAACAAATGAAGTACCTCTATAGCCTGATATCCAAGCATCTGGCTAACCAACTTAGCCGACGTAGTTTTACCTATGCCAGGACCTCCACATAATAAGACAGCTTTTTTAGCACTGGAATCATTGAGCTTTTTACCCTTCTTTTTGCTTTGAGCATCAAAAAAGTTCTCGTTCCAATGTGCCAACCAATCATGAAGTTGTTTGACCTACAATTGTAAAATGAACGAAATCTTAGTTGCAAAGACATAATATTTTACATGAGCACACAAAAACTGAAAAAATAATACGTAACAACAATAGCAAAGGAGAAATTAAGAAATAAAGATACCAGTGACTGGTTTCCTATAATGTCGTTTGAAACCTTTGGCCTATATTTTTCAGTCCATGTTAGGGAAGAAAATTCAACTGTTCGACTTTTTTGCTTAGCAGGTGAAGCACCAGCAGTAAAATCTTTGCGCGCTGCATCCATAGTCAAGGAACTCTTGTCACTGCCTTCTAGAATAGCACTTAACCAACATTTTAAAGATTACATATTTTCAACAACTAATATAAAAACTACAGCCAATCAAATGCATTCCAGATCAAAAGAACAAATAGTGCAAAATAGATTTTTTGGACACGTCAGCAAAAAAACTCTGAGAACGAGACATTTTGGAAGCAAGAAATTTCCATAAGAGGCAGATATTGCAAAAAGAAGACAGTAGACACTGTAAGTTGCATCAAATTCCAACCAAAGATATCTAAGTTCTGTTTAAACACAAGGTCTTGAATTTGCAGCACACTTTGACACTTCAACAATGAACAACAAAAATAATTCTTACAACTAGCATGAAAAGACTAATGATGACAAATAAATCAAAATGAAGAATAAAAGTCAACTTTCAAAATATCTCCTCACGGAAGCTTCAAGTTTTCAGGATAATTTTTTCCTAAGAAGTTCACAAACTCCAACCTAGGGTGGATTGAATATCTTAAGTCTCTGTTACATCAATGGTTGTTATCTCTGGGACAATGCTTGACTTGTCCTCACTATTAGCCATATCAACTGTCACAAACTCACAAGAAAGAGTAGGAAAAATAGATAACCCTAAGAACCAAACACTGAAGAATGTTGAACATGTTTAAGGTACGTCTACATACAGGTGTGGGTGAAGAGCCAAGGAAACTCCACAGAGACTACAGAAACAAAAGACAAACTTTCACAAAAACACAGTGGCTATTCAAAAGAATCTCAGGGATATTTCTGGAAAAGCTTTTGCCACCCCAACAGACTGCCTCTCATGCCAAAGAAAGAATGATTTGGTATAGTGCTGATCGAACAAATAGAAACAAGGAAGCTCAAGCCAATGAAGGCCCACAAGTTCTCTCAAGGAATGTGAGTAGTTCTGATACCGTTGACAGCTTTAGCTAAAAGGGCATGGTTCTCATTGAAATTGAGGGAGGAAAAAAAGCATAGGTAAGACTAATGAGGAGGATATGGTCCTAGATCATTAATCTAAAACTAAGAAACACTTGCTAAGAATCTACAAACTATGCTAACAATTTACAAGCAATTTTTTTTTTCTTTTTACAAGCAATTGAGGCAGAGAAATATGATTCGTGATTCATGGATAAAGAATCTTGCAGTTTCCTTATAAAGATCCTCCAGTCGAAGATCCTTTGGTCTTGACAGTTTACATATCTAGAGAATATATCAAAGAATTTGGAGAAGATATAAATGCTTAAAAAATGGCACCAACAATTAAGCCCACATTGCCACTTCTTCTAACACGAAACGTGCAGAGAGAAACTAATGGAAAGGATGACTACGATATCACAGGTGATACCCAATATAGGGTTAATCTGAATTCAAGCACTCAATTAAATGGAGGTAAAGTCATAGTTTATTTGGTTGTCCGCTTGTTTTATGGTGTAAATACTCCCCTTTGTTCCATCACTATAGTTTTTCTTCCCTTTTATCCAATTGGAATTGTTTTATGTAATCCCTTGCATAGGGCCCTTTTGTAACTTCATACTATCAATGAAATTATTTCTTACACACACAAAAGGCAAAGGGAAAAATGATGACTCAATCTTAGAGAAAGGTTTAGTGAACATGAAAGAGTCCTTACCCGGCTAACGTCTAAAAAAATGATTGCATAAACAATTTGCAACCCGACAACAATAACCCAAACAGAAATATTGGCATGCTCAACATAAGATATTTTCCCCATTTTTTAAAGCTAAAAAACTATATTATTATATAGCACAATAATAAAACCATCAGCTCCCCCCTATATAAATGTTCGTCAAAAGTTTGACAACAACAGTCCTAGTGGCATCAGTATTCGTATTCCAATCAGATAAGTAGGCAGACTTACTCTTTGCTTGTACTGCTGGTACTTTTTGGGAGTTTTTCTCTGTTGGAGATTCCAAGGACTTAACAACAGATTTTTTAGATTCTTGTCTTGGAGGAGCTTTAGTGTCGGATGATGCACGGATCATGTCAAATAAGCCATCCTCAGTGAGAAAAGCAGTTCTACAAAAAGAGAGAGAATGAAAATTTAAAAGAGGTAAATGAAAAGAAAATGAAAATTTAAAAGAGGTAAATGAAAATACAGGAGTGAGTACATTCCATTTCAATTATAAACCAAGGAAAAATACCCCAGCTCTTTAGCTTTGGAAGATTTTCGACCCCCAATATCTTCATCACATAGTAGATAATTCTGCAAACATAAACGTCCATAATTTGTCTCCACACAGAAAATTGAATAGCCAACCAAATCACAAAAAGTGTGCAAGTTCTTTTTTCTTTCTTGGATAAGTAAAAAGATACAAGAATGAGTTAACTGTTTTTTTGCTGATAGATCCAGTTATGCGTCCACCATGGCGTTTAATCAAATCTTCTGCTTCTTCTCGTTCCAAACTGTAATATGGCCCATGACCATTATCACTTCCATGCTTATAAGATGTATAACAACACCATGCAACACCAAAATACATCGAGAAGGGAGCATACTTCATGATAGAGGCAAAATGACACTGATATAAATATGAAAGTTTAAAGATGACCATGTACCAGGAACCCTACTAATTGGAAAATCATGAATTCATTTCAAAAGAAAAGGAACGTGTAACAAAAAAGATGTTAAGGAAAACAATGATGCATTCGCATAACAAACTTCATTGCATCAGGAGAATTACATTTCAGTTTAACAAGACAAAATGTTCGGAACTATGCTCCTGATCCAATAATCATAACTGAGAAAATCAGAGGAATGACCTGTCAAGGGTTCCACTAATTACAAAAGTTAGTCCAGCTAAACAGTCAGGAGCGCCTTCAGGGACTTCCTGAGAAACAAGCAGGGAAAAAACTAAACACTATATTATAATAATGCACATAACAGAATGAATTCTTGTCAGTCCAAATACTTAAAATAAATTTTCACCTTTTCTCCTTTGTGTGGAGGATCTTTCCTTTCCCCAAAATTCATAAATCCACCCCGTCCACCGCCTCTGCCTCTACCACTAACAGTTGCAGCAGATGAACCCCTTGCCCCCCTACCCCTTCCACTAGGCTTCAGAGAAGACTCGGTACCTTTAGCTTCCTCGTCATCACTTTCTTCAATCTCTACAGGTTTCTGAGTAATTCCCTTTCCAGAACCACTCTTCAACTTTTTGTTGGGAGTGACGTCAGACAAGTTCTTTCTAGAACTAGACAAAACAAAATCATCGTCGTTGTCATCAGTTTTGTTTAATTTTTTTGAAGGTGGAGCTTTCGGTGATTCCTCACTATCTTTTTGAGACTTTCTTTTGGCTGGTGATTCCTTCGCATCCTGTGGAGACTTTCTTTTGATCGGGAGTCCCTCTATTTCTTTTGCGTCCTTGGACTTCTGCTTTTCTGAGGCAAAGTACTTACTAGTTATCCTTCTGCCAGTACTTTCCCCACCACTCAGCCCCTGCAATATCATTAGTCAGCAAACGAATCTCTTATTGCAGTAGCATAACATTAGAAAGAAGTAAACAAAAGATATTACAAGTCTAACTGCACGCAGTATTGTTTTCCCAAGGAGTTTAGAACTCTTAGTCAATAGGGAAAAGAAAGAGAAACGTGTACAGTATTTTTTTTGGAAGGAAACAAATATTTCATTGATAGTATGAAATATACAAAAGGCCACATGGGCAATTACAAGAAAGCCTTCCAGCTTGTAATAAGATTGTTAAGAGAGTAGCTATTAAAAGGTGAGTAGAAACATTTACACCATCCAAGAGTTAAGAGAGTAACTCTGTCAAAAAAGATCTCAAAGGGAAGAACTTTATCATTAAAGACCCTATTGTTTCTCTCCAACCAAAGACTCCATAAGAAAGCCCTTATAAATTGAACCCACAGTGTAGCCTTTTCCTTTTTAAAAGGGTGTCCAAACAGTAAGCAGTCAAGGAAAATGGCAGGGTGAATGTGCAGTGCAGTCTTCCATCCAAAAGCAGTGAGGATAATGTCCCAAAAACGAGCAGCAAAAGAACATCGAGATGAAATATTTGTCTGCTCATTCAGAGTATTATTCAGACAAATATTGTCCCAACTTTCTCTTTCTTGTAGAATCAAGGCAATAGAAACAATTAAAATGTGCTTTTTAACATCTCATCTCAAGAATGCACTCAAGTCCAATTTTTAAATATAGCTCAGTTTTCTTTCAGAAATACCAGATAGACCAATTCATACGAGAATTATGGTTCCAGAAATAGACATCCATCCACATAACAATAAGTTATTATGAACCAAAAGGACCAACAAAGTATGCAGCTAAAGAAACTAGAGATACATAAAGAGTATAATGGTACTTGGAACATATGCCATCTCAACTACTAAGAAGAGTGAGGTCAGAAAACACACTGTTTTTCCGGACTGTGGTTCGGCTGTAGCAGCTTTCTCTGAATTGCTTGCAGCAGGCTTTGCATGCTTCAACGCACTGCCATTGTCTTTGTCGTGTGCTTTCATGAACCATTTCCTAATATCCGCCTGTTTATCACATCATAATTATAATGGTAAAGAATAACGAAACAAACACTATCAAGTATGAATTATGTAAATGTCATTCTTGATCGAGCCCAAACTCATAAGAAAAAATCCAGTTGAGGAGAAAGATATATGTACTAACTTCCTTTATTGCGACTATTAAAGAAATAATGCGAGTACCACACTAACAGTAATTAACAACGAACGCCCAAACTCACCATTGTGGAGTCCACGGCGGAGTGCAAAAGGCAAAAACACCACTATACTGTGAAGTTCACCGTTCAACCAAGTTCTGGAAGAAATTTCGTCAAAAATCAGAGTCATTGATTGTTAATAGGAAATATGTTACACATACATCGTGTCCCGATGATCACAGTCGAGCTACTCAAGTATGCTATGGTCATCAACAAAATTAGCAAGTTAACAAACATTTTTCCTCATAACGGACGTGGGCACTTGATATTTAGGGCTTTTCAACATGCGGTTCATAGCCTGAGGAGAACAATAGACCGCCAAAAGAAATTTCCACCCTCGCCTTCGAGAATGTGGAGAAGTTCGAATCGACATGGAAGTTTTTCAAGAATGAAACTCGAGTGGCATACTTTTGGGGGAAAATAAAGCAATTGAAAGGAACAAGAATAATGAAAATCAGGTTTCGGTGAGTGAAAAAACTGAAAAGAAATCGAATATACCGTTAAGCTCGTCTTCGTCGAAGATCGCCGGCGGGCTCCGTGCCTTGGAAGCTAGAAGGAGATTGTGAGAGTATTCTGGCGGGTGAAGGCCGAGTGTCTTACAAAAGTATGACGCCACGTCATCTTCCCCAAACCCGTAGAGGCGGCCTCGTGGACCTTTTTTATTTTCTCCAAATATTAAGGGTGCGTGCGTGTTTAGTTACCCATTGTAAATAGAATTTTAACCAAAATAAAGTTGTATTTTCTTATTTTTGTCATCGTTGATCTAGAAATTGAATTTTAATTTAAAAAATTATTTAATGTATGTTTACTAATATATTTGTAAATTAGGTAGCTGTGAAACTAAATATTTAGTTCAAATGAATGTCAAATACTATTGAACCATACTCGTTTTTGTAATATTAATTAATTTATTAACATTTCTATTATAAATTTGGTATAATTATTATTTTATAATATTATATAATTTTTAGTGTATTATAATTTACCTATTTTAATTTCGATAAATATGAAATTAATCTGTAATATGATAATATTTATCAAAGTTTTTATCTAAAAGATTGAAAAAATGTTCCCCTATACATAGAATTCAAAAACAGTTTTCAAAAGAAAATTTACTTGATGCATATACATTAAATCCGTTATTCAATAAATATGAAAATAATAGCCACGATTGTCAACTAAATAGGCCTTACAATATATTGGCATTTCATATATTCGTTTTCTAGCAAGGCATTTCCATATTTCTAGTATCGTCAACAAATAAAGTTGTAATAATAGCATATAAACAGATATTATTACCCGACACAATATTGTTGATAATGGATTTTAATTTATTTAAATTTCAAAATATTAGAATGCTTGTTATTTCTCATAAATATCTATCAATATCATGGGTTATGTCCAGATGTTCATAAAAAAGTTTCTGTCAGCGTCAACATTTAAGTGGCCACATGATATGAATCATTAGGTTAATACTATAATTTATTTATGTATGGCATGACTAATTATATTTATGATTTTTTTTCAACTACAACGAGTAGAAATGAGGTTCGAATTTACAACCTCTTAATCGGACACAGGTGTCAACTATTGCGGAACTAAACTCATGTTGGCATACTTATGAAAATTTTAATGACTATACTATAATATAATATTTAGATATCTAGGGTATGAAGTTATGTATGAAAACAAGTATACGTATATAGAGGTATAAAGTAAAATTACATTGAATAGTGTCACGTTTATTTAAATATATAAATTCTTACATTTTTTTTCTAGTACAATATGTGGGTCGAGTTTATATTATGGTATAAAATTATCGTATTTAAGATTGATAATTACGAGTATGTTTAATAATGATTTAGGTTTGTTTTTTAAATTTACATAAAATTTTAAAAACATTTTTAAAAAACAAAAAACATAAAATTCAACTTGACTATTAAACAACCCAATCTTTTAAAAATAAAAAATAATAAATAAGATGGTTATTAAACGAACCCTAAATTTTTACTTTTATCTTTGTTGAAAAAAAAATATCGAAATAAATATATAAAATTAAAAAATTATAAATTATAAATATTAAACCGAAAATTAAACTCAATTTATATACAAACTATAAGCGAAATCATTTCAGCAACGACATTAAGAAATGGAAAATCAATACACGTGGATATGTATTTTCAACTTGAGAAATTCATTTTAGAAGATCGAAGACAAACGAGTTGGAGATCCGTTGGCACGTGAGTACAACACAATGTACGGAAAATCGGAGGGTATTTTAGGGACGAAATTTTTATCATGCAAAGAAAATATTCATGGAAAATAAAAGGGCAAGTTTCACGTGATTTTTGGAAAAGTAAAAAATTAAGGGTATTTTAGTATTCGAATTCTATATTTTGTTTTTAGATTCGCCGCATTAAATGAATCATGTGAATACGTGTTTTGACCCATTTATTTTAAAAAATTGATTTTAAATTATGTGATGCAAATAATTAAAATGGTAAAGGTGTTGTCAAATTTTAATTTTGAAATTTTAGAATGGAGAATTCCATTAAAAAAATATATATAAAAACTTCGATAAATACCTTATTTTAGATTAAATGTAAATATTATAAATTATATAATATTTAAAATAAAAATTTTACAAAATTTCTATAACATTAATAAAAATGTGTTAATAAATTAATCAATATTATTTTAGATTCAATTCAAGAGTCGTAACTCCTCTAAATTTTACAAATATAAAGACCACGAACAACTTTTTAAAATGAAGATTCAATTTACTCATCTGCTACCAAATTATCCCATAAATACTTGTCATGGAATGTCTTTTCTTCAATTTTTAGATTACCAACTAAACGTAAAGCTAAATAATTTGAAAAAGGTCACATGCAATTTAATAATAGACTAGTCTTATAAATGGAGGAATATTAAAGAGACGTTTATTTACTCCTATTATTTTTCGTTTCTCATTTATTTATCTTTTCAAAACTGTGTATAATTTTTTAAAACAACACACTCAAGTTTATTATTTATTATTCTTATTTTCAATTATGGTAAAAACACAAATAAATAAAATGAGCTCCAGCTGGGCAGAATCGAAACGTTAGAGTAGAGCGCCGAGCGCGAGAGAGAATTGACGTCGGCAGGAACGGTTACTGTAGCAGACGACATGTCGGCGAGGTACCGAAAGCGGCGCAAATCGTAAGGCTTTATCCATGCATTGCATGCACAAATGACAGCTTGAACAAAGGCCAAAGGATTCCATTATTATTCTAATTAAAAAAAAAAAAAAGAAAATGGAAAAATAGAATTATTGGGAAACAGCTTAGAATTAGAATGCAGTGAGTTTATATGACAAAAAGTTGAGAGAGCGTGAGGGGAGAGAAAAGGAGGTCAAACCAACCCCTGTGATGAGACAAGATGTGATTAGTGATACAAAGGTTGAAACCCTTCCTTTTGTTTCCTTCCATAATTTATACACCTTTTTTTCACTAAAAGTTTACTCACACAGCATCTTCCAATACTATTTACACCCACACCCTCCTGTTCTTTTCCTTCTCATCACGTCTCTTCCCTTGTAACCATTTTGTTCTTATCCCTCTTCCTTAATAATTTTAGCCTCTGTTTACTTCAACGGCGAATCAGAATCAAGCGATGGAAGTAGAAATTTTTATTCGCTTTCACGTGTTTGCTAAATTGTAGAAATAGAATCAATTGGTGGGTCCCAATCTCATTCCTCCCGTTACAACCTCACACCAATCCCATTATCGATCATTATTTGGTGAGCTTCTACACCTTTTCAATGATTTAGTATATAATACACAGTAGTAGGTGTTAAATCCTAAGTTGTCTAATAAATGATAATCAATACAAATAGGAACTAAATGACATTATAGCTAAGAGTTTGAACAAATTAATTTTAACTAAACTCTATAATTAACCATATTGGACGAGTTATATGGTTGTAAAGAAACATCTATATTCTATAGTGTTTTTCTTTTTATTAACATTTTCAGCTTTAACTTTACAAAAACAAAAACTATTCACTTGGAAGGAAAAAGTAAAAGGTAAATAGTCAATTATGTTGAGTTGCATAATAATAAATGAACTCAATTGATATATAAAAAAATATATATTTTTATTGTAAAGAAAAATCCAACATGTTATTTTATACGAAGGTACAAGTGGGGAGGTGAGATCTAAACCTATGATGGATACTTCAAACCAACTTCATCAAGTACTACCAATTAATATATCTTAGCTTCCTCTTGCTGCAGTCATTAAATAACAAAATTTTTAAATCATTTAAGCATCATTACATACACTCAAAACTCAAATAATTAATTTGACTCCTTTCAATAAATGCATTCAATAATTAAATTTCTCTTCTTTCTCATCATGACATTAACAATGAAAAACAAATAAAATAAATTAGGTTTCTTTTATATATATATATATATATGATTGTAATTTTAATCAAGAAACTATAAAGAAGTTAAAATTCAAGAAGTAGTTTGGTAATGTTTATTGTTTTTATTTTTTTTGATTTAGAAAATATAAATATTTGTTAACTACCACTTTATTTCTATTTTCTAAAAGAAATATTATCCTCCTCCATTATATGTTTCTCACCTTTTTTTTTAATGAATGGTGTATGGTTTAAACAAAATAATAATAATAATAATAATAATAATAATAAATAAATACCTCGACCAAATTTTGGAAACCACAAAATCACTTTTATCTCTTGTTTCATTTTCATACTTTCAAAATCATAAATAGAACTATCATTTTAATTATCATTTCGTACTCATAAAATACATAGTACACATTACAAATTTAAGTATTCAAATTTTTAAATATTTTTTACTAATAGTACTCAAAGAGAACAAGAAATCTATTTCTTCATATATAATTTCAATAAAGGAAAGTAAAAAGAAAAAATTAATGTTTAGCCACACAATCTCATAATTGTTCTTTCTAGGAAAAAAAACAAGAAACAAAAAGTAAGAACAGAGAGGAAAAAGAGTTAAAATTCCCCCTAATAAAATACAACTACTCTTTTTTTATTAGTGTAACAAAATGTATGGCTAGAGATTGGCTCTTCAACCTTCAAAGATTATAATTAGATTTCTTATCTATCTTATCATACTCGAGTTGATATATAATTTATTTTTTTATATTTTATGAATTAAGACAATTGTATTGTAAAATTAATTGAGTTGTACGTGAAAATTGACCCGAACATTGATTCTATTATACTCGATTGGATTCTAAATAGACTATGATTCCACAATTTAAATACGTAGGTCGCCCCCCTCGTCCGGTACAGAGAAAGCCAAGAGAGAAGTGATGGTTAAAAGAAAAGGGCCTCACCTCATTCCCACCCACTCAATCCTTCAATCATAACGCACCCCACAACCCCCACTCTTCCCCCTCTCTCCTCATAAATCCCATAATT